ACCCATCTCCAAATTATTTAATTTAATTTAGAAGTTTCTAAAAGTGTACTCGCTGATTTAAAGTCATAATGTTAGTTGCAAATTGTACCATCAGTGTTTGATAGAACTTTGGGTTGTTTCCCTTATCTGTATTGAAAATTATTCTGGATTCAAGAAAAAGAAAAAAGAAACCTATATCATAAAATTGAAATCCTTTTATTTGGTGAAATACCTGTGAAAGAATCTTACAGATTTAGCATTCTTTGCAATGACTACATTAGGCAAAATACCAGTTTAACTAAGTATACAATTTTAAAGAAAAATATTGCTGTATATTTTTAGGAGGATGGCCTGCCCTTGACATTAAATGAAAATGGTATAATAGTTGGAGAGCCATTGAGTTTTAATCATAAATTATATTGACATTAATACATTTTTTTTCTGACTAGATCTGGAAAGAAAGAGATCAATGAAGGAAAAATGTTTGGATGTTTATAAAATCAAATTTCATATATTCTCTCACATTTTGTATACTCCAGTGAGGATTAGCGTGGTTCAAATATAGCAATAAATTATAAGAATGTATCTTATTATGTGAGTAGTATAGTTTGGGGAGGCACTACTCTTTTATAGATAACTATTTAAGACAGGTAATTGCATTCAAGGCAATAGAATATAATACACTATGTTGTCTCTGAAATTCAAAATGAAATTATGAAAGCCAAATTATATGCTTTTAAATAAATAAGCCAAGTTCATTTGTGACTAAAAATCTTTATTATATTAGTTTCTATTAGTAGTGGGGGAATATCTGTTTCATTGTAGTATTTCCGAATCACAGAATAAGGTAAATTATCATTTTATTACATCCTTTTATTTATTTTTTAATTAATTTAACATTTATTTTTGAGAAACAGAGAAGAAAATGAGCAGGAGAGGGTCAGAGAGAGAGGAAGACACAGCAGAATCCAAAGCAGGCTCCAGGTTCTGAGCTGACAGCACAGAGCCCAATGTGGGACTTACTTGCACCCACGGACTGTGAGATCATGACCTGAGCCGAAGTCAGATGCTTAACCGACTGAACCATCCAGGCACCCCTGATTACATTCTCTTAATCTAAGCTTGGAGTTGGCACTTGAAGTGTCCTATGTCTTCTACTTTAAGGGTCCCATACATTTTTAATGTACAGGCAAATGACAACAAACAATACTCATGTTATAGATAACAGATGACAGAAAATTTTAGGTCCCTTGGTGTTTGACCCTTATGATCTCGTTAATAGTGTAATATCTCAGCCTTTTAAGAGGTTGCTCTGACTCACATGTGAAAGGAAATGCTGTCTTTCAGAAATATAGCGTAGTTGGCAATAGCCAGCATTATACCTAGGAGGGATATACAGCAATTTAAGAAAAGCCACTTAAATGGCTATTTCCTCTTTATCCAAAAGGTTCTCATAAAGAGTTGAAGGATTAACTCTTAGGGAAAAAATGGGCATGTATCCTATACCTACAAATATCTGGGTTCATCAAAATTTCATGGAGTAGGAAATGTGTAAATATTAACTTTTCAGATTAGCTTGGTCTGGCAAAACATAATGTTAATTGTACAAAACATAGTGGGAAATGTCTCAGACACATTAAACAATAATGATTAGAAATATGTGCAGAAGTATTTCCATTGTAAAGGTGGACAGGGGATAGCAAAATTAAGTCTTAATTGAAAAAAATACAAAGTAAACAGTAAAGGAAAAAATACGGTCATTGTTATAAAAAACTTTTAGACAATGATTTATTTTTCTGTGTTTTAGTTACATTTAACAAACTTGTATATCCAAAGAAAAATACATTGTATCGAATTTAAAAATGCCCATTAGTAAAAATGCAAAAATAAAAGCACTATAATCATACTATCCAAATACAAGAACTGTTTAGTGTCTTATTGTATATTCTTCTAGAAATTTTTACACACACACACACACACACACACACACACACACACACTTCTCTAATTGAGATTCTACTGTTTGTAACCCACTCTTTTAAATCTATGGCCTATATCTTTACATGGCAGTACATTTTTATCTCATCTGCTACCTAATCAACCCATAATAAAACTTCTCAAGTTGTCTGAAACCTGTCCATACAAATGGTGGCCAAAACTAAGGTTCACTGCAGGATTGCATTTCACATCTTGTTGTTACGACCAGTAAGTCTTTTTAATCAAAACAGTACCTTTTTTTTCCTATTCACTTATTAAAGAAACATGCATGTTGTCTTAAAGAATATTCCCCCTTCTCAGTTTGACCAGTTGCATACTTGTGGTTTATGATTTATTTTTCAAGAGCAACTTCTACTAAAATATGAAGGATTTGGCCACCTAAAATATCCAACAAAACATTTATGTAAGATTTTAAGGTATAGAAACTAGTTCTTCAAGCTTGTACATCTACCATTCCTGCAGAGTTGTAAGAAAGAAAAAAGATAAAGAAAGGCAAATCAACCAAGGAACTTCTTTGGGGAAATATTGAATGTAAATGCTAATGAGAAAAACGTAGAAATTATTGTCTATTGTGTTTTTGGGTGTTTTATGTTTATTGCCATGACCAAGCTAAGTAGTAATGACTCAACAATTGATATCCACCCAAATTAGATGAAAACCATGGAGGCAGAGGTCTCATTTTATTCTATTAAGGGGTTCTTCTTGGGGCACATGAGTGGTTTAGTGGATTAAGCGTCAGCTTTTGGTTTCAGCTGGTGAGATTGAGCTCCGCAGGTTCTGTGCTGACAGCGTGGAGCTTACTTGGGGTTCTCTATCTCACTGTCTCTCTTCCCCTTTCCTGTTTGCACACATTCTCTCTCTCTCAAAATAAATAAATAAATGTAAAAAAGAAGTGATTCTTCTTAAAATGGAAAACAAAATAGAACATCTTTTTTTGTTACAGTGATATTGACATCCATTTTCATAAATTCATGCCACTTATTTTTTGCAGAATAGATAAACAGAAGAAGTTTAGAGTTTTGTTCGAATCTACAACTAACAAAATGTTGGGCACTATTCTCAGTCATACATAAATCCTTTGCAATAAAAATATTGGGCTGAAGGAACAAAAATACAACTCTTTGTGTAGTAATGGCTTTTTCAGGGATATGTGAAACACTTGAGCCAGAAATTATGCCTTGGACTGAAATCTTAAAATGTTTTCTTGAGATACATATTTAACTGCCAGGCTCAAAAATATGATCTTACACATGCCAAAACACATCACAATGATGAGTTTGTGTCCATACTACAGTTTAATTTTCTCAGCATAGATTTTTATATCTTTATAAAATTCCATTTAGGAAAATCTAGTTGAATTATAGCAACATTCCAGTATGCTATAGTACTTTCAGCTGTCAGGAAACAACCTTTAGGATGAAATACTTCTTAAGGTTTTTCTGTAGTTTTATACGGCAATATAACAGTCATAATCTTTAGAAGACATGGCTTCATTTATAGAAGTTACACAGATTTTTTTTAAGAGCTCCTTAAAATTTTAAAATTTTATTTAGGATCATCTGCTATCATTATTTTTGATGTGTCTTTGAACAGAAGTTTATTTTGCAAGAGCAAGTAATTTTTTTTTTCTAAAAGAATGTAGCTGTATAGAGTAAATTCCTGTAAAAATGGGAACATAAGGCATAAAAAACTTTACTATTTAAAGCATGGACATTCAGGGAGTTCTTTTTTACTTTTCTTATCTATCATGTCTTCTTGGTCAAATATGTATTAGGTAACACCTATGTGTTTTACTCTGGGCTATTTACTGTGATGAATGAAATTAATATATCTCAGGGCTATGACCACAGAAAGCTCATAGATACTACTCTAGAACAAGCAGTTAAGATCATAAATATTACTTTTCAAGCAAGGAAAAAATTTAAGTTAGAAAACAATGAGTGATCAGTTTCAAAATTATATCTTAGCTAACAATGTATTAAAGAGACACTTTAAGAAGAAAAATCTCTAGGAGATCGCTTCTAACCCCTTCTAATCTCATCTTACTAGTTATATCTTTTAATGTAATACTTAATGTATAGACTTCTTTTGCAGGTATATGATGCTTAGGCACGCTTTTGATAATAATATTTACTTCTGTCCTACCACAACTCTGAAAACCAATCTGACTCAATTCTTCATTTTTTCCTGCTCTATATCTTATCAAAGTTCCAAGAGTTTGAAACAGCACTTTTGTTAATACATCTCTCTTATCAGTACCATCATGCTCCAGAGGTGTGGGGTTCATATATTTCCAGACCACTCATTTTTGCGTTAGAGCAGTAGTTCTCAAAAGGCGGTGATTTGGGCAGACATTTGACAATATCTAGTGAAATTGTCGACTGAAGGATGGGGGTGCTACTGGCATCTAGTGGATGGGGGACAAGGATGCTGATAAACACCCTAACATGCATGAGACAGTCCCCCATAACAAACAAGTATCCAGCCTAAAATGTCAATAGTGCCACTGTTGAGAAAGTCTACTTTAGAAAAAATTTTGGAAATAATATTATATACCACAACATTATTAAAATATATTTCCATTTATTTATAGATACAAGTACAATTAAAACAATTTAAAATGCTTAAATATCAATATTTTGGCATATGTTCTTCATTCTGTTACTAAGTGTAATATATATATGTATATGTATACACACACACACACTTACATATATATATTCTTTTTTTTTTTTTTTTTTTTTTTTTTTTTTTTTTGGTCAAATGGCATGCTGTGGCTGCTCATCTCCAAAGATTAGTTGTTTGTGCATGGTTTATTTAAAAAAACAAAGCAAAACAAAAAGCAGAAATAGTTTTTGTCATGAGAAAAATTTTGTGACAGCTTTAATGCAATTTTTTGTTTGTTTTTCTTCTAACTGACTAGATCTGTGGTATGTGGATAATGTATCCTACATCCACTCTTTTTCTTCCTCTGTCTTGTCTCTCCTCTTACTTGTTTTTTTCCTGTTTCCTTCGGTTGGCAGAACTCCTCTAATTGCAGCTGGAGTCATCGGCGGGCTCTTCATCCTGGTCATCGTGGGTCTAACATTTGCAGTTTATGTTAGAAGGAAGAGTATCAAAAAGAAAAGAGCCCTGAGAAGATTTCTGGAAACAGAGGTGAGGTGTTTATTTCTTCTCTGCATGTGTTTGGGGCTTTTCATTAGGTTTAGAAGGTTTAGATGATACTCAGCTTTTGAATCCAAGGGAAATGCTGTTCAATTTCCTGCCAAGGGCTTATAGTTCATAGTATGTTATACAAAGTTGATGAAAAATCAGAGTATATAGTAAAAGTAGTCACGGCAGTTTCATGGCTTAAAGAGGACAAATACCAAGGGCGAGACTATTATCTTCTCGAACGACAGGTCTTATTGAAAAGACATATCTGTTTCTTTTGGGAGAGGAATCCCAAAGGCAAGCTCTAGGATATTACAGCAGCAGAACAGAAAACATCTGGGTGGATGAAGTCTCAACAGCAGAACTAGAAAAATGTTAGAATTTTTCTGTTTGAAAATAAAACCAGATAGGCCAGCAATTTATGCTTTAATTACCGTCATTAAATTGGTAGCCACTGATCCCACTATACTAGCAGTAAAAAGCTGAGCTTACAGGATGAAGCTTAGTATTGTAATCACACAGACCTTACTACACAATTTATGGGAATCATTTAATATTATGTGTGTTAGTTGTTGTGAATATGTAAATTACCCACAAATTATTATAATTTCTTTTATATTGCCACACTGAGTCCTCTAGTGTACAACATGATAGTTTTCACTGTACAAGTTACAGGGGAAAAACAATTACAGAAAACTATGCATTTCCATATCCTTCTCAACTTGCATCTTACCTCTTTCTTCTGATATACACATCCCTGGCTGTCTGAACAGCTCACAGCAATTCTGTTCTGAGACTGAGCCTTCCCTGGTTTGTTTTCTTGCTCATTGTCAGTGTGACAGTCTGACTTTTCCTCTTAATACTGACAAGAATGAGAACATCCATTTATAAATTTTGCAAACTGATAGCAAATAAAATTTAGCTCTCTTTCTTTAGAAGTTGAAAGTAGATAGAAGAATCGTGTGAAATGTTCAAGTACCTACAGTTACACCGAGGAAAGAATTTCTAAGAATTGGAGGTGTCTAAAATTCAAATGGATTGTCTCATCAATAGAGATGGCTAAGCATAAGATAGGTAGTCAATTATATACATGAGAAAAAATAGTAATAACTCTTACTTGATCTGGATATTTACAAATAGATCAACTTCATCATTTTCAACCCTGCACATGAATAAAAGTTTGGACACAACACCTGTGCTGTGCTTATTTTCAGTTTAGCTAGGATGCTGTAGGCAGGTAGAATTCTCCCTCATGGCCAGCTTGGGGCAGTTGTAAAGAGAATTCTAAAGAGTGAAGTAAATTAGAGTTGGAGAGGAACTGAAGTCTTGGAACAGCAGTGGCTATTTAAGTGACTGAATAAATAGAAAAGGAGTTCTGTCCCTTAACCACAGGCAGAAAAGTCTCATTGCTACAAAAATAATTATTTTGTGTGTTTTCTTTTTTTAATATGGTGCTAAGAATGTCCTTTAAATGGCATTTAATTATTAAATAAGCAAATGCTGATTAGTTTTATAAGCAGATTCTAATTTTTATAAAAAATTATTGCTTAGTACTAAATTAGATAATTGTAGAAGTCCCATCTTTCTCTCAGGAGAAGTAAATAACTATGATTTTCTGCCATCTAAATAGAAGAGGAGTTCTTAAGAGGATCAACTAAAATCCTTAACTACTGAAGCTTGAAATCTGTCTCAGATGTGAAAAACTTGTTAAAGCATGATATATTGTTGGAATGTACTTAGAGTAAATATGCTTTTCCAAAATCGTTTTGCTCCAGATTGTCTTGTCTTCTGTTACATGAATAAAAGTAGAAAATATGTTTGTTTTTATTTAACATACACTTACTGAGTTGCACTGTAAGCTTGATACTTTGATAGATACTGTGATTAAAAAGTGTTAATGGGACATGATCCTATCCCGTGAAGAGTGACAGCTTCAGAGCTTACAATATGGCAGGCAATATTCCAAAGTTTTCCAGCTATGTTATACCCCATTTCATCTTTTGACACTCTTCGAAGGTAATTATTGCCATATCTATGTTACGAGTATGAAATGAGGGACAAGGAGGGATAAATTGCTTTCTAAGCCTGTGAGTGGCAGTACTAAGATACAAACCTACAAATTTAAACTTGACCCTCTTTTTGCCATCTTGGCATGCAAATGAAACAATGCCTCTTTTAAAGACATCATTCGCAAATGCCTGGAAAAATATGTTTGTAAAAATTTTAAGTAACATCTAAGAAAATTGCAGAAGACTAAACATTTCAGGTAGAATAGTGAAGTTCTCAAACCATGAAATTATGGCAATATTATGTGCCAAAGCATCTGTTTTAAATACATATAGCCCATAGTGCTAAAATGTAGTCCCCAATCTTGCATATGATTTTTATATAAGTTTTTATATGATTTAAAAAGATAATTTATTAAAGTTCCTGATTATATACATATAGTGTGTGTATCAAAATCTACTGAACAAATTCTGCACAGCAGAGTTGGATTCGAATAAAGGACATTTTCTGAGGGAGATTCTTCTTCTAGTTTTTCAAAAAATTTTGTAATTCATTCTGAGATTTATTTTAGGTGACTTGAACACAATTGTATGCATTTTTTGAAATGTAAATTTGAAAATGAAATAGAAGCATATTTGTGGTCAAACTTTTAGTCCATAGCCTAAATTTATTGATAATTTTATCATCTTCCCCAAATTCTTGTTGATTTTCACTGCACTTACCTATACTCAAGATTCTGCTCAGCTATTGAAATAGACCATTATGTTCACAGAAGCATAATAATAACCAAGCCAGAGGGTCACAGTGCACTTAGCATTGTAAACAGACATTGTGAAATACTGTGATGGTTTTCAAGGCAATTTGAGTAGGCGTCGCTTTTAATTATTTCCTTAGGCTGAGAAAGAACCAGTTATTTGTCTGAGTTTAAAGTTTAGTTCCTTAATTTAACTTTTAAAAAAGAAACTTCTATTTCTCTCACTTGCATTTTTGCTCAAGCATAGATAAAAACCTAAAATTTTAACACAGGATGTAGACTATTGGTACCCACAGTCAATCTCACGTTTACTTTTTTTTTTTTTCCTCCCCCTCACATAAGCAGGAAATTGGCACATACTCACATATCTTTCCCCTCCTTACTCATCCTCTCTGGCTGAATGGCATCTAAACTGAACATCTAAAATTATTTGTATTTATATCTTTTGGCCACACCCAGCCCACTTTACAGTCTGGTGTTTCCCATCCTGATCTCATCCTTCAGACCTGTCCCACCCCTCGTTGCATTCTGCTTTCTGTCTTCTTCCTCCTCCCTGATGCTGTGTCCAAACTGCTCTTTACATTGGCAAACCCTCCTCCATGTCAATCCATTTTTATTATCTCAAGTCGAACTTTAAAGTGTACCTCGTCCAGGAAGCCAAAACTAGCAAAGCTTACTCGCTCCTGGTTATTTTATTCATTTGCATTCCAAAGCATTCACGTAGGATCTAGAATGAGTTCATAGAATTTTAGAATTTTTTATCTTTAAGGTACTTTAGGGCCTTGCTGCTTAAAATGTGTTGAAGGACCATCATCGTACATAGATATCACCTGGAGTTCTGCAAAATGCAAATTTCAGCCCCAATTTTAGACTTCTTGAACCAGAATCTGTATTTTACCAAGAATGTCAGGTAATTCAAATGTACACCAAAGTGTTAGAAGCACTGCCCTGGGGCACTGGTAGTGTGCTAACTTACTTTATTTTCTTCCAACCATTTGTTTGTCCTGGCTTCCCAGTTAGATTTTCAATGCTAAGAAGACAACATTTTATTTTTTTATGTATCAAATCTCCTAAAACAAGAAAGAAAACTTTGATAGAGTACATGGACATAACTAAGATCTCTGAGTCTTAGCTGGGGATACCAAAACTGGAAGCACTTCAAAAAGTAAGATTTAGAGGCCCTAATCAGCCTAAATTTCTTTAAAAATAGGGAGAAAAATCCCCTATCTTAGTATGCCTCAAGGTAGTCACAGTTTTATACTTGTGTTCAGCTAGGCAAAAAGCATGGGAAGAGAAAAGATAGACTCTGAAGGAATCGTGAGTGATCCATACTACAAAAATATTGTCAATGAAAGTGTGCTTGTGTGTTTTTGTATGTATGAGAAAGAGAAGCAGGCAGAGGAAGAGGGGGAAGCACTGACTGGTGAATGGAAAGCTGTATAACCTGTATTCTTTTTTGTTTTGTAGTTGGTAGAACCCTTAACTCCCAGCGGCACAGCACCCAATCAAGCTCAACTGCGTATTTTAAAAGAAACTGAGCTCAAAAGAGTGAAAGTACTTGGCTCGGGAGCTTTTGGAACAGTGTATAAAGTGAGTAAAAACCCATACCATTAGTTACTTTAAGTTTCCTTTCAGACTTGTCTTAAATAATAGCCAGAGTTAATTGCTCTCGCCAACCTAATTTCCTTTTAATATCCAGAGTGGAACTTTATAGTATTGAGAAGTTGCTGCACAAGTGAATCCATTCATTTTTGTTGAGGGCTGGGATGGGTACAGTCATGAGAAAGCAGGAAACTGTCACGGAAGCCATGTCTTTCCACGCCCTTCTGAACCCCGTTTGATATGATCTCCCTATTGGTAAATTTGTCCTTATCTAAAATACACAGCTCTCACCCACTTTCCTTCTCCGTACACAGTGCTGCGGGGAATCCCACAGGCCTGAGCAATGGACCATAATCCTTGCTCTTCTTTTCTTCTGCTCTTTCATCCACATATCTCCCCACCAGGACATTACTAGCCTATCTTTTTAAAACCTACACAAATGTGCTGACTGGTTAACAGGATAGGACTAGTTCCTAAACTACTTTTTGCCTACCTGTTAACATACATGATTTAACAGAAAACTTTCAGTTTTTTTTTTAATTTTTTTTAACGTTTTATTTATTTTTGAGACAGGGAGAGACAGAGCATGAACAGGGGAGGGTCAGAGAGAGGCAGACACAGAATCTGAAACAGGCTCCAGGCTCTGAGCTGTCAGCACAGAGCCTGATGCGGGGCTCGAACTCACAGACCGCGAGATCATGACCTGAGCTGAAGCCGGCCGCTTTACCGACTGAGCCACCCAGGCGCCCCAGAAAACTTTCAGTTTTGATGTCTTCACCATTATATGCAAACTAAAAAAGTGACTTTATTTGTGAAATTCAGGTCGGAGAATGAAAGGGTGACATCGTGGGTTTCCAATAAGAGACATCTTTTTGGAAAGGGAAAGCTCAAATAATGTTATCTGTGTGTTTACTTTTTTAGCTTAATTACAAAACCAATTCAGAGGCCAGGCCCAAGGTTAATTGTGGTGAAACTTGTTTTTCAAATTCAAATTTCTGCTGGGTTAGTGCTAAATCCTTCTTAGACTGTCCATTGTGACAGTTCCCCAAATTTTACTTGACAGTTTTATATATTTCTTAAAGCTATATGCAAGCCTACAGTTATTTTTACAAACATTTTTGTTAAAATAGACTGGATCTTAGAAATTCTGTACTTTACAATGTTTGTTTTTTTTTTCTATGTGAAACAGGTAGTTACTTAACAAAAATTATTAACAAGTAGAATATTAATCTTAATTTTCTCTCTCCTGAGTGTTCCAAAAATAATTTAATCTCTTTAGAATAAAGTTGTTTTATTCTAGGGCCAAAATGCAGAAATTTCTTAATCTATTTAGTGTACATATTATGTTCAATTACACTCAAAATTAATTGAGCACCTAATTGGAATAGAAACTATTCTAGGCTGGCTTGGTGCTTTCCAGTCTTCAAATTCTTTGTAATGTTGAAGAAACACAACTTATCCTGTTTTTCTATTTATATATATGCTAGAAATAATGGACTTCCTGTTTGAAGATAACTCAGTTTTAGATTGCTCCTAGCATATCACCACACTTTTATTTTAAAGATGGTATGATCTGGAAAGAAAAATTTTATTTTAAATCATGGATAACATTTAGCTCAAGGACGAATATGATCTAGTGACCTCAGCAGGGAAAAATTACCCATTTAGACATTTACTAATAAAGTTATATGAATGTTTTTATTATGAACAATTATTTGCCTGTTGTCCGTGACTTTATATCTTTATTGAAATTACTTGTATTGAAGGTTCCATAAGTATGTTTAAATTTTATGCCTGCAGTGTGTATGGTTGACCCTAAGTTTTAATTAGTATATAAGTTCCTACAAAGACATACTGTCTTAACATGTAAAGAACTATTCTTGACCACATAAATGCAGATTAGCTTAGCTAATTATTTGGTTAATTTTTCCTCCTGGTTGGAGATATGCTGTGTTTAAACATAAAAGATCTGAACCAATATTGTGGGTATTAGCATAGTTGAATTTTTGTCTGGTCAGGCCTAGAAAATAATGACTATACTTATTTAAAAAGCAGTACAAATTAATTCACACTGAATTTATATTCTTATTTCAAAAGTATACTTTAGGAATATTTTAATATTGATGATATATCTTTATAAAGTAATTCCCTCTTTAGTTACTTTATTGAGTAATGGTAAACGTGTTCTCTACCCTAGATACCATCACTAAGAAAATGTAGCCTATGGATCTTGGACTTTCACTGCCTCTCCTACCCCATTTCTGCACTAATAATTAAAAAAATAATAATACCACAGGGAACATGGCTTATTTCTTTGTATTTTTTAAAATCTTTTTCAATGTTTATTTATTTTTGAGACAGAGAGAGACAGAGCATGAATGGGGGAGGGTCAGAGAGGGAGACACAGAATCTGAAGCAGACTCCAGGCTCTGAGCTGTCAGCACAGAGACCAACACGGGGCTCGAACTCACGAACTGTGAGATCGTGACCTGAGCTGAAGTCGGATGCTTAACTGACTGAGCCACTCAGGTGCCCCCTTTTTTGTATTTGACACATAAATTTCCCTATTCACTCTAAGAAGAATATAACCCTTAAATTCACCTTCTAATGGCTAAAGAGGTTTTTTTTCTTTATTATTCTGATTTTTTAAAATAATTTTTGTATTTAGTTCTCCTCTTGTATTATTGCAACTTTTGATAATACAAATATACATGTTTTAGTGTAGAAGTACAAAGCGAAAAACTTTTTTTTTTATAACTACAACCAATTGATATTAGGAAAGACTAGAAATTCTCTTTAGGAATAAGAGAATTCTTTTCCCCCTTTCATTTTAATATTAAAACTGGACTAAGAATACTTTGTTTTTGGTGTCAGGGCTAATAATTTAAAATCTGAGATTTCCATTTTTTCCATATAACCTCACATTTGTTTCAGTGTTCATTTGGGACAATGTGCTTCAAAAAAATTGTCATGTAATCGATGCACCCCTATTTATCTTATCAAAATTATTGTCCTAATTCAAATAGTTGTTTACTCAGAAATGCTGTTATTTTCCTTAACGTTGTACTTGACTCAAACCTTACCTATTTTATATTTTCCCACTGTATAGATCTTGCTCAGATATTATATTTTTGTAGGAGGAGAGAACTGGCGGTGACCAATATAAATATTTTATATTATTTCAGAGCTAATAAAAATCCTTGATACACATACACATACACAGTATTTAGCAATCTAAACAAATTAATAGGTGGTCAATACTCCCTAGTACTTTCCTTAGAAAACTAATTCTTAAATCAATCTGAATTTCAGGAATGTGAGACTATGCTATTTTTATGTTTTTGTTTGTTTTAGTTGCAGAATAATTAGGTAATATTAATGCTGAAAGGAACCTCCAAGATTACTTAGCCCAGTCTTCTAAATTACAAATGAGACATTTGAAGACCAAAAATTGGAACAGCATTCTCAAAGTCTTGAGAAGTTGATTTTTATCCTAATCTAATATTATTATGTTTTATGTCATTTTTTCTCTATTGAAAGCCTTTTTCACACATACAAATTGAATTTTATAATGTGATACTTTATAATATAATAGTAAACACCTTGAAAGCAGAATAAATGTATGAGTCATTCTCAGATAATGAAAGCAGAAAACAAAGTTGCTATGTAACTTGTAACATATAGCAGGTACTTGTTAAATTTTTTTGATTGAATAAAAAGATGTAGAACTTCTAAATTATTTTTTTAAAGAAATTAATAGAATGGTTAAATCAAATTTTGTCTCTGGTATGAATTTGTATATGTCTTCATATAGATTTTATGTGATTTTTCCCCCAAAGGGTATTTGGGTACCTGAAGGAGAAACAGTAAAGATTCCTGTGGCTATTAAGATTCTTAATGAAACAACTGGTCCCAAAGCCAATGTGGAATTCATGGATGTAAGTATAGACACCAGGCAATCACATTTTTATGCGTTATTAATAGACTGCTTTTAGAATTAAATAAAGACTTCACTACTTACAAATGGTATAATATTTATAGTTAAAGCCTTGAGCAGGGGTCAGCAAATTTCTTAAAGGACCAGAGAATAAATAGTCTTTTTGTGCAATGTGGTCTCTATGGAAACTAGAGACCACAGCTCTGTCCTTTAGGTGGGTGAACATTCATAGGTACCTAACGACACAACACACAAAAATGGATTTGCCTGTGTTGCAGTAAATTTGATTTACACAAACAAGATGAAGGCTGAAGGGCTGAAGACCAAATTCTGCTCTCACAAGAGCTCTGTGTTTAACCACTATGCAAAGAAGGGCAAATTGCATTTGGGAGTAGTAATGATGATTTGAAAAATTAATTGTGCTGCTTTATTTTATTATTGTTATCCACTTAGCAGAAAACATCAATCAAGGTTAGTTTTTATAGTAAGTCAGTTTGTGCTAAATTTAAATTAGGAACCTACCCAAGTCAGATAATTACCGATGGAAATTTACTTTTTTCAGTTCAAATTCGGAAGACAAACCTTATGGGTAAAAAGCTCCAACTATAGAAAAATAAGAGCGTTCTGAAGAATAAAAATACTTTATAAGGTCAATCAGAACTTTAAGATTCCCCCCCAGCAAAAATTGTAGATTGAGCTGTTCAGCAGATTTCAGAAGGTAGGACAGATAAAATGTATATGTGGCATGCTGTTATTTTTTCACATTCAATATAAGCTATCCTGCGAGGGGTTCTATCAAAGATACATATGTTCTTTCTCTTTTAGAATGATATTTTCAATAATAAGAATGATTTTGATTTTCAAATGACCTTCATATGAAAGATGACGCAAGCATATGCACTTTGATTTTTTTAAAGATGGATTGCTATATATTTCTACCCAGTTTCTCTTGTAAGCTCTTTTGTAAGTTTTATAGGAGCTCAGTTTTTGACCTTGGATAATTTATTTGGGCATAATGCTTACCATCATATATGGGACTGCTTTGAGTTAAAGAACTTCTTGGCTATTATATAACAGGACTGATAATTCACCGGTGCAAGCCAGCTGCTCTGATCAGTCAGTGCTGTGCCTTACCAGTTGCTAAATATTTTGAATACCACCCTTGTTACACCTTGTTGTTTATCTACCACACCTGACAGACACTGAGTCCAGTAACTAAATAATATTTCCTTCTGCAGGTGTCTAAAAGTTCTGACACTCTCTGCAGCTACCTGTCCTGGCTCATATAGTAAAATGTAAAACTGAAGCCTTTTCCAGTAAAGTCACAACCTATTTGATCTTGATTATAGGTACACAGTTGTGAAAGGAATTTTCAAAGAAACTAAAAAATATTAAGAAAAAGGACAATGAATGTAAAGAGTGTAGGTTAATATGTAAAACCGATATAAAAAAAGATCTTGCCCAGACTAGACTGCAGCCAAAGTTGAAATTCACAAGAATGCTAATAATGTCTGCTGGAGGCTCGGACGGCCATTTTTGTCATATTTCCATGGAAACAGACTGGCAAAAAGGGGTTAAGAGGCTACAAAATAATCACCTAAGAAAGAAGCTTTAAAGGCTTCATCATGATTTTGAATGATTATTTGAAAGCTCCTAACCCCATCCTTTTTTATTTTTTTTTCCTGATCTGAAGTCTATTCCCATGGAAACAGGAGTGGGGATGGCAGCTTGAAGTCTTAGATTTCTGCTGAATTTTAGATGAGGTTCTGATTGAGCCATGAAAGGAGTCATTTTCCTAAATCATTGGCAAATTTGGTGACCAACAGACTCCAAACCGTATGTTCTTTTTAGAAGTTTAAAAAAAAATTAGGGAAAATGTTTTGACTGAGCCCTTCGTACATGTGGATAGATGCCAGATTAATAGATCGATGGACTGCCATCGACAATTTCAATAAATATCAAGCAGAAACATTCAGTGCTATTTCACAACTTCTTTCAAAACATTAGTGTGGCATTGCAATAATTAAAATACAGTTGCACTGGAAAAATTAATGGTAAATTCAGTATTTTAAATAGACTGGTATAATTTTAATGCAAAGTATACCTACATTGCATAGCAACATTTTTAGCTCATCTATTATGAATGTAGATCATTGTAAGTACTTAAATAATATATCAAACTATAATAAAAAGCTTCATATCAGCAAATTTATTTGTAATTTGGACCTAAGAATTAAGTTGAAGTTACCAATATCCCAGGGTTATTAAAATGAAGGTCATGTTTGGCATATCTCCTAGTTTGGGTTCTTCCATATGGTAGAGTACTCCCGATTTAATTTTGAAATTAATATAACATCTACTGCAACCATGCTTCATGTCTCTTGCAAATTAATGTATATGTGTATTTGTTTATATGCATTTGTTTTATACCATTTTGAAGAAGGAAAATAAAGCTCCCAAAGATTATGGAAACCGTACACTCTTATTAAACATTAGATCTCTGGGCACCTGGGTGGCTCAGTCAGTTAAGCATCCAACTTTGGCTTAGGTCATGATCTCAGGGTTCGTGAGTTCAAGCCCCACATAGGTCTTGTTGCTGTCAATGTAGAGCCTGCTTCCAATCCTTTGTCTCCCTTTCTCTACCCCTCCCCACCCCTTTCTCTCTCTCTCTCTCAAAAATAAATTAAAAAAAAAACATTAAGAAAAAGAAGGCATTAGATCTCTTTGCCCCACTTCACCTGACAGCATCCAACTTTATACTTGGGGTAGAATATTCTAAATTCAATAACTGTTAATACTAAGTTTATTAGATTCAGCTATGTTTTACTGGTTATTATAAAAAATGACAAAATACAACTTAAAACTCACTACATCCAATACTTCTATTGATATCCAGGGCAAAGCAGAGGACTTTTACATTTTCTTAGAATTTTTACCATAGGCAAAAACAAATAAGGAACAATTTGTGTTCTTGAAAATGCTATGCTAAAAGTAAGAGAAGGAGAATTTGGTCACAAGGCTGTTATTCAACCCACCTGGATATGTCTAATAGATTTATAATGACAATAATAACACACTGTTATTGAATGGCCAGTATGTCTTTAATTCCAATAAAGGAAGATCACATTGAACAACATTATAAAATAATGACTCTAAAGGTGTACATTCTTAAGAATACCTATGTTTATACACACTGCTAGTTCTTGTTTCAAATAGCACCATTTCGTTGGAAGAACACAGAGGTATTTTTTGTTGTCGTTGCTTTGTTTTGTTTTGCTTTGCTTTGTTTTATTTTTACCCATAAAACGATAAGGAACGCATGCCAAAACATGATGCTATTGAGCAAGATTCCTAGAATTGGGGACCATGGTCTGGTCAAATCAGACAAGCTCATTAGTTTGTCTGAATTTCTATTACTGTGTTGTTGTTATTGTTTTCTCTGATATTTAAGTCCCACTATCACTTGACATTATTACATATAACTTGAAAGTGTACAGGTATTTAAATGTTTTGTTAACTGATATGCCTTATTAAAAATAATCTTGAGGTTAAAAAAAACCATAATTATTCTAAATTCCAGTGACTGAACAGTAATACTTCAGCTTATTGCTTCAGTTTCTTGGCTTTAGTTTCAGCTTTCCCAGGCCAAATCAACCACCTACTTCCCAGTAAGGTGCTGCAAGGAGATATGTTTCAAATCACTCAGATTTATTGTGTAAATGGTCATATTTTTATTAAAAGAAGAATAGCTTGTTGTCCTCTCCCTATACAGTGGAAAAATTTATTCATCTTCACACAACTGGCATTTTATCATTTTCTGAAGAAATGTCCATATGAATTGTGCTTATATGTTGCTCTTCTCTATATTGCCTTAATAATATTCACTGTCTTAATGTGAGTAGTTTCAAATCTAACTGATGTCATGTTAGTGGGCTGAGACAAAAGAATTTATTAGTAGAGTTTTTCTCTCACATTATGGCAGACTTGAAAAATGATTTAAAAAGATATTTTGTACAATAACATTAATTTCAAATGATAAAAATAACATTTTTTATGCCTGTGACTTCACAGATAACAGTAACTATTGGCTAGCTCCCATATCATACTAATAATTTTTTTAATTCATATAATTTAATCCAATGATATCTTTAGGCCTTACAGATTTGCTCATTTGCATTCATGAACAAGATTTCAGAGGTGAAAAAATGCAAAATTTCTTTTTTAAAAAAGCCCATTATTTAGATGTCACAGGATTCTATACTGCTGCCATGATCTTGAGAAGTCAATTATAAATAATCCTCCTTTCCTAAGAAAACTTACAGCTAAAATAATTAAGAAAAGTTTTGGTTAGTTACTTTGCTTTTAAAAACTTGGGGTGCGTGGGTGGCTTAGTCGGTAAAGCCTCCAACTTTGGCTCAGGTCATGATCTCACTGCTTGTGAGTTTGAGCCCCATGTGGGGCTCTGTGCTGACACTTCAGAGCCTGGAGCCTGCTCTAGATTCTGTGTCTCTCTATTGCTCTGCCCCTCCCCTGCTCGTGCTCTCTCTTTCTGTTTCTCTCTGGAATAAATGAAATATTAAAAAATATTTTAATAAAAACCAAACAATATCTTCAAATAGAGATTCTGTGAACTCCATTAGAAATAGAATTTAGTCTTTCAAGGCTCTACTGAAAAGAACAGAAAGGAAAAGAAAAGAAAAGAAAAGACAAGAAAAGAAAAGAAAGGAAAAGAGAAGAAGATTAGAAAAAAGAAAAGAAAAATTTACCAGTTAACTAAAGTAAATCATTTGTTATGGTTTATTTCGTTAGCCCTTCTTTACCTCCTGTTATTTGTATAGAACTTGGTCAGAAATGGCATCACATCTGAAATCACTATTTCAAACACCGCATTGGCCAACCACACTCTCCTACACCTTTGGTTCCTTTCCCATAATACCTTCTTGAGAAACATTGCACCTTTTTAGGTATCACCCATACATTTGACTCCTCTATTTCTCACTA